CCCTAAGCCACAAACAAGATATCAGTGAACGAGATAATTGCATGGGATTTGAGGGGACTGCTGCAAGGTGCTTGTAAACGAAATGTCAGCGTCTGCTGCAAGTCCCTGAGGGGCATCTCCAGGGGAGAGGGAGCCAGCCTTCTGCTGAGGCCTCGTCCTCCACTTTCTATGGGCAAGGCTAAAGTTCCCAATTCCCCAGGCCCTAGTTCTTCCAAGTTGCTATCTGGAATTGATTCAAAATACACAGTGTTGGCAGCAGTGGTCAAGAGTTCCCATCCATAGTCACCTACCCCCGAAGAGAAGTCAGGTTTGTGGCCACAGGGAAAAGAATGCCCTGGCCTTTCAAGACTCAGGTGGAGCAGCTCATGGGATTGGTTTGTTTTGTTTAGCTTGGTTAGGGTTTTTGTTTGTTTGTTTTAGGATTTTTGTTGTTGCTTTGGTTTGGGGGGGTTGACTGCCTTGGTTTGTGGCAGGAGACTTGAAGCCACACCCCCATTCTGGATGGAGACAAAGCTAAGTTTCCTAATCAAGTGCAGTGAGGCTGCACGGTGGGTAGGAAAGCAGGAACCCAGGGCTGTTGCAGCTGCTGCAGCAGGGTCTTCTGCTGAGGCCCCAGGACTGGTGACTGAGTACTTTCATTATCACACCCAGCATGACACCCAGAACCCCAGGTGTCATGCTGCAGGCAATTGAAGAGCTGGATGTCACTGATGTGGGGTGATCAGGTTCTGGGAAGCGAATGTTGACAATGGACCCCCCTGAGTGCAGGGAGAGGCGCGCGGGTTGCCTTGGAGTATTATGTACTGGTGAAATGCCTTTGGAAATACTCTTGGTGTAATGTTTCTCCACATCGCATCTTTGTTGCTTTCTCAGCATCCAGTCCTCAGAGTGCCCCATCCAATGAGGACTTTAAAAACCCAGAATACAAGTGCAGAGTGTCCTGCGCCTCAAATCACAGCCCTGGTCCATCCACCCAGCGATTGTTTCCTTGGGGCATCTTTGGCTAAAACATCCCGGCCCCTGGGAGGTCCCTTTTCACCTTATACCCAGGAAGCAATGGGCAGGGATTGGCTCACAGACTGATAAAGGCAAGGCTCTGGTAAGGAAAGGAAGAGGGTATGCTGCCAGAGACCATGGGGGCAGACCTTAAAAGGAAAGGTGGGAGGGAGTTAAAGAAGCTTCCTTCACCATTGTGCAGGGGCCTAATGCTAGCAGTCTCCTTGTTGCTCACCTCCCAACCCCTCCCTAGCCATTGGGCTTGTCTAGAAAATAAGCTAACCAACTTTTATAAGTACTGTCTCTAACGTCCTGGCCCGAGTTCATAAAAGATGGTGGGCGCAGGCACATGGTTCCCCTGGGGCGGCCCAAATGGGCAGCTTTGGGACATGCATGGACTCTCAAGGGAGAGACTAAGAGCTCATCTCCAGATCTTCAGTTCCCAGGTCACCCCCAAGGCTCCTGTTCTCAGAACTCCCCCAGCAGAGAGCAGCACTCTGGGTGGGTTTATCACCCAAGCTGCACCTGTAGGACTTGGGGTGAAAGAGGAACATAGCCCCTGGGATGGGGTAAAAAGGAAGTACTTGCCACTGCAGCTGGGAGGTAGGAATAGATGCTGGAGAGGGACTTCCTGGAGATGAAGTGGACCAGTCCCTCCTTCTGGAACAGCCTGAACATCAGAGAAATGGGACGGAAAGGTGCCAGGAGAGACTCACATGGCTCTCTCTTGCTGTATGCTTGGATAAGGGTCAAGAGTATCTGGGATGTCACCATGAACACTCAGCCAAGCTTTGTCCTCTGTTCACAGACTCTGAGCCCCAAACCGAGCAGGTCCCTGGCCCATGCAGGTCCCCTGAAGTAAGGTGTGCAAATGCCAAATAGCCCTTTCCTGACTGGTTCCCACTCCCTTCTAGGTCCAGTCCTTTGTCCTCGCCACAGTTATAAATGGCCTGTTCATTTAATGCTGCTTTTAATACTCCATGCCCCATTTAACCCTAGGGTCTGCAAGGTCAACTCCTTTTACTCTCCACTCTTTTTCCATGTACAAAAAACACGGTAAGCACAGAGCATAATATCATTTCATGAACAAAATATTGTGCTCATTTTACAGACAGGGAAACTAAGGTTTAAATGCAAACGAGAAACATAAGATTCAGTTACTTCCAATGTATCTTACTATGATTCTAATAAGATTAACCTAACCAGAGCAGCTTCTTAAGTTGAGGCCCTTCACATAAAAGCAAATACACAAAGAACATTCTTTGAAAGTAGAGGAGGGGGAGCCTGGTCCCTTTAAGACTGAGGGGGGCAATTCAGAGGGGGTTGTTTTAGGTAATAGTAAGGGCCACAAATATTAGTGGCCTAAGCAGGTGCTAGATCCCAGGCCCTAGGAAGAAAGGGAAGGCTGAGGACCCTCTATGTGGAGAATCCTCCAGTGACAGGGAGGGAGACAGGGCCAGATTATCTGCCTGGCAGGCAGATTCCAGAGGCCAGGCAGTAGAGTTCCATGAGCCCAAAGCCAAGGGTCCAACGAATGCTCACGTTGGGTGACAAAGTTCCAGGCTGCGTCTAGACCTGCCTGATGTGTGGTCCGAGCTCCAGCTCTTGTCAGTGGCCATGCTCAAGTCCAGGGTGACAGCACAGGGCGACGGCACCCCACCCGTGCTGAAGCACAGAGTGGCAGGGTGATGGCACCCCACTCTCTGCAGGAGATAAATGAGATTCTCCAAGACAAAGCACAGTGCAGGAGACACAGAGCCTTCTTTCGCATTGCTGGCTAGTTTGCTTCAAAGCCCGGTGTGAAATCTCCCCCGGTCTGTAGAAGGAAGTGCGATGCTGGGATGGGTAAGCAGGAGGGTGGCTAATGGGGGAGGCAGATCTTGACAGAGGGGGAAGCTTGGCCCCCCGAAAGCATTTCATTTGGAGGCCTGCACCCACGGAAACACCATCTCACAGCCAAGCTCACACGCTGACACACACTCGGTGCCCTCAGCTCACAGGCATGAAAGGGTCTCAGGGGACACGCAGGGCCCTTGCCGCGCTCTGCCTGCTGTCATCGTGTGCTGTTTCCTTCCTCTGCTCCATGTCACTGCGCTGTGAAGACATGGACTCTGTAATCTACACCGACTGTACAAACTTAGGCACATTCCTTAACTTACAGTCTGCTCACGCCCGCAATGCCTTGGCACATTCCGTCCCCGGCTTGTTCGTTCTGAAGACTGAGTCAGTCAATTACACAGCACTTGAAGTGAGGTGTGTGCAGTGTGCAGCACACAGAAGCTTCTCCGTCCGTGTCAGATGTTATGAGCGGTAAGAATGCCGCGTGTCAGTAACTGTGGAGCCCCGGGGCCTGGCTACCATGCTAAGCCCGCTCGATGTGGGGGCAGAGCTGTCCATCTGGCACCAGCCATAGATCAGAAACTAGCACTCACAAGACAACCTGGAGAAGTCCAGGAAAGGAAGTTCATCGACTCCCGACTTGTTGGGTGGACACACCCAACAGACAGAAGCCGACATAGTAGCCCTTTAACTTGGCCTGACCCACGATCACTGGCAGAGCAAGGGTGCTTTGGGGTACTAAATGTGATGCGGTCTGTGTCTGGAGGATCACAGGGCTTGAGTGTCGTCCCTTTAGCAAGACAGAGAAGGGAAGGACCGAAGGAGGCCAGCGGAGCGAGCAAACCCAGGTCAGCCAGGCCATGGGAAGAGGAAATGTTCCCCGAACAGCAGAGATGTAGGCAATAAAGCCTTTGTCCTCCACCCCACCTGCCCCTTAAGTGAACAAGAGTAGGGTTCACTCTGGTGAGCACCCCCAGACCTGACTGTTGTTCCAAGAAAGGCCACCGGGGCCCACAAAAGCAGCTGCTAGGAACCCACAGAGCAGAGGGCAAGGACAGACCTCCATCTGAATAGAAGTCTACGCAACATAGCTATCCTCTCCTTCCCTTCCACCACGGACAGCAGAGCAGAGACAGTCTGTATCCAAACATTTAAGAACTGTGACAATGGGAGAGACACACCTGGGAATAAAGATAGTGACCAAGAAAGGCTATCTGTGTGGTTAGTCCCTACCCTGTGACTTGCGGGTGGGCACTGGGGATAGACTTAAGAAACCCAAAGTAGCTGGGCACGGTGACACACGCCTTGAATCCCAGCACTCGGGAGGCAGAGGCAAGCAGATCTCTGTGAGTCTGAGGCCAGCCAGCGATGAGACCCTGTCTCAAGCAAAGAAACAACCAAAAACCCCATAGTAGCATGAGAGAATTCTTTCCCATTCAACCACTAAAGTAAAAGGGCTTTCTTTGTTTAACACCATATCCTCTCCTCCTTAGCCACCTCCACGTCTGACATAACAGGTCCCCGCATGTGTCTTCTGTCCCCCCTGGAGCCCAGCTCTCATCTGTAGGAGATGTGTCAATCACAGAGCACTAGGCCAGACACCAGCTCAGAAAACACCATTGGGACAGTGGTGGCGCATCCCACACAGATCTCCGTCAAACTGGGAAGCTAAGTCGGACACCAAATGCTAAGCTCAGAGCGTCTCCTTTGTTCTTTTATTTCCCCTGAGTATGGATACAAGGACTTGGATTCTTATCCCTCAGCAGCACACTTGAAGGTCATGTCCCAACTGCACCTCGGATTGAAGGATGCTTCAAGTGAAAGCAATTGGGTTTTCCCCTGAGCCAGGGTGACAGATGGCAGATGTCTAAAGGGTATGCAGACCTCAAGAAGAATTTCTTTGGGGTACAGACAAACTCATGCAACAGCTATATTAGCAACACCCCTGCACTTCAGTCACCCAAGCTGCAGACATCTGCTGCCCAAGCGTGATGCTTTTCCACAGAGTGCCACGACTCCCAGCTCTCTCTTCCTAGACTCGCTTTGTCCACCCTTATCTACTTGTTCTGTGTTCCACTTCATTTCCTTCCCAGACTCATCCTATCCCCATGTTCAAAGCCATTGTACCAAGAAACTGGCCCCCATGTTCCCAGTTGCTCAGGTACCTGTATCCTTGATGTGGTGTTTGAGGAATTATTTCCAGTCAGTTGACTAGCAAAGCTGTCCCAGACGGCTTCAGAAGAAGACAGCCTTGAGCGTGGGTGATGAAAAAGCTCCTCCAGGGGACTATTTGTGTGGCTGGAGGCCGGAGGCCTTTGGGTGCAGGGCAGTAACCCCAGAAAAGCACCGCAGGCAGCAGCCAACACTCCCAGGCTAGTTTTGCAATAGCAGAAGGAAGAGGAGGCCCTTTCATCAAATAATAACCAGCCAGAGATAAGGCCTGCTAGGCTGAGCTTGATCAGCCAATCGCAAGCTTGAGAGCATGAGAAGAGGCAGACCCAGCTTCTGGAGCCAGTTTTAGGGCTTGTTATAATTTAATGATGCTGCACGGGGGCGGGGTGGGGGGTTGGGTGTCTCCTTGGCCTCAACTGGTGGGGATTTCCTAACCAGGGAGTGAAGCTCAGAGCTCAATAGCCCATTCTCTATGGGGGCAGCTACACTGAGCATCTTAGGGGTCACACAGAGCTCAAGGCTCCCAGCCTGGCTGCCAAGAGTCCTTCCTCACTGCCTCGGGGGGACTGGGAAGCAGACGAGAGGAGCTGAGCAATGTATAGAGTCAACAGAGGGCAAGTATGTTTGACACTGGGTATGCAGCTCTCTGTTGGTGATGTTGATGATGTCAGGGACACCTTGGGGACTTTAGCTCTCCTTTGAGGTGGGACCTGCATACGATGGTACGTTCTTGATGCTAACTTTCCCAATTTTAGTGATAGGGGCTCTCCATCTGTCCGGCCATTGCAGCCACATTCTTTCCAAGGTAGCATTGATCTGTTAAGATAAAAGACTTATGGTAAAGAAGATGTATTCTGGAGGCTCGCTCGGCTGAGTTACATAATGGCATTGCATCTTGCCAATCCCTATGACCTGACTGCAGAAGCTAAATGCCCGGGGGGGGGAAGCCCCCCAACTCTCTAGAAACATGTACCTTTAACTGTGTTGACATGTTACAGCTGAACATTGAAAGGAACTTGAAAGAGGATCTAGAGAGTCTTAAAGACCCTCCTCTCATAAATACTCACTCCCCTTCTGCCTCCCTCTTCGCCAACTCCCCCAGAACCCCTGCTGCCATACTCTGCCCAACCCCTAATCTACTTGTATTCTCTGTGGATTCTCCTATTCTGGACATTTTTCATGCGGGGGTCATAACTATGTCACCTCTACGCATCGCTTCATTCACTTAGCACAATGCTTTCAAGTCCATCCACTCCCTTCCCTTTTATGGGGAGAAATATCCGTTCTGAAAACATGTTACAACCTGCTTGCCCACTGATAAAGAATGTGTGCTACCATGAATAATGATCGTGGGATATTCATGGGCAAGAGGTAAGAGAACCAGCCACTGAAGGGCTTCTCTCTCACAGAGGTGGGACTACACCGCAGTCTCTGGGCCTTGGTACATAAATCCAGGTTACAAGTTCATTTCCATACCCACCCTCCCCACCCTGTCAACCATGGCAAGACAAAGGGACACTTCCCACACTTGCGGGTGGGACGCCGGCAAGTTTGAGCAATTTGCAATAGCTACTCATCCAGGAATGGAAACCAGAAGTTTTTTGTCTCTTCTACCCACGTTCCTCGCACATAAATGTCTCCTTACTCTTGTCTGGATTCAGCATTGGCTTTCAGGATGCTTAGCTCAGTGTGAGACAAAACAAAGATGGCTCCTCTAAAGTGAAGGGAGGAGCCAATCGTTGAGAACCATGACTAACGGTTTTTACATAAGGCTAGAGGGGAGGAAATATCTTATGGCTCAGAGCCAGGGGCTTCTTTGCAGGGCGATAGCTTCCTCCTGGATGCTGCTGGCCCGGGTTGCCTTCCTCCCAGCAATGGGCTAAAGGCAGTACTTCCCCTGTTCAAGTAGGAGACTTGGGAACTCTGGGTAAGCCTCTTAGGTAAGGATGAGACTGGGTGAGGTGACCTCCTGCACAGCAGGGAGGCACCAAAGTAGATCCCATGACTGCAGTCTGGAGATGCAAGGGGGGAAGGTTCCGGAGAGGGAAAGAGCAGAAGAGAATGCAGAGAAAACCTGAGGAAGGTTACACTGGGAAGCTGGCCAGTTTCCCAGTTTACCTGTGGTCAAGAATGCTGTATCCTAACCCTTGATTAACAGCTTGATCAAATGTGCCAGACTGAACCATGTAGAAAAAAACAGCAACAAAACAAAATAAAAAAACTCAACCAGAGATAGCAAGTATGTAGAGGAAGTACAGGAGTGCTCCCAGATTTTCATCGCCTGTCCAGACCCAAAGTCCAAAGCTCCAACAGAGCTCTGCCAGAGACTCCCCAAGGAGGAGGATGATCCTTATGGGGAGAGATGAGGCTGAGCTGAGAAGGAGAGAACAGGTAACGGGCTGGATGCAGGCCACGCCTGAGGTGGAGATGCAGGGCTTTTCGTCTGAGGCTAAGGATGACAGGGCCCCTGTGGAGTACCAAAGGTCTTGGACCACCATGCAGTTCACCGATCCTGAACCCTGGATTATTGCATCACAGTCACGCCAACTTCTTTGATTTCCATTATTTATTTAAAGGCCCATGACTTGCAGCATCCAAGGGCATCTGGCTAGTCATTATCAGGAAGAAAATCAGTTGGTCCTGCTAGTTTCAGACCCTGCTTTTCTGCAATATCTGTGCAATCTATCAGATAATCAAATTTGGAGCATGAGGCAATATCGGGCATCAGGATTCAGAACAGGGCCAGCACAGGTCAGTAGGGCTCATCTTGGGGTAGAGAAACAGTAGCTCTTAGGACTCACCTAAACCAATGCTTCTTAGCCACATTCTCATCCATAAAAGCTTCATAGAGTGCTCAGGAATTTAGAACCATTTCAGAGCATGAGAAAGCAGAACATAGAGGTCAGTTAACCTGCCTGAGCCCATCCCATTAGTCCATGGGTGGAGGAGCTGAGACTTGAACCAAAGTCTGTGCGATTCAAATCCATGACATTCTCATGTCTCTCCCATGTTGCCACATGCTGTCACCCTTAAAAGTTCTTGTAAACCTTTTTACTTGTGTGTGTGTGTGTGTGTGTGTGTGTGTGTGTGTGTGTAAGAGAGAGAGGGAGATACAGACAGACAGAGACATAGACAGACAGAGAGCACACACATGCTTTTGTCATGGCACACATGTGGAGTTCAGAGGTCAACTCCTTCGGGGAGTTGATTCTCAACTTCCATATCTCATCTGAGTCGGAGTCTCCCTGGCTGTCCTTGCTACGCCAGGCTAACTGGCTCCTAAGCTTCTGGGCCAGTCTCTTGTCCCTGAGTCCCATCTTACCTCACAGGAGGTGTGCTGTGATAAGGGCCACATCTGGCTTTTTACATGGGTTCTAGGTATCAAACTTGGGTATGAAGCTTGTGTGGCTGGGCTTTTCCTGGTGACCATCTTCCTGGCCCCACAAGAGTTCTTGGGTTCATTATTGTGTCTATCATACAAGCTACCACTCACTTCCATTCTCTTCAAATGACTTTTATATAACCATCAAAATCACTAATCATTTGTATCTTAATTATATAGCTGTAACCTAGATGTACACACATACAGACACTCATCTTAATGTGTCTGCGTGTGTGTGCACCACAGCTTTAACCAGGTATGTTCTGTTGCTTTCAGAGAAAGGTGCAAGTGTCTTCAGTTGTAATGGCCGAGGCTCTGTGAAGAGCTTAGGGTAGTGGGCATGTGACAGGCTTCTTGTTTTATGTCAGTTCTGTTTGTTTTCCCAAGTCAGGGTCTCACTATGTAGTTCTGGATGTCCTGGAGCTCGCTCTGTAGACAGAGGCTGGCCTTGAACCCACAGAATAAACCTACCTCTGCCTCCTGAGCCCTGGGGTTAAAGGCATGTGCCACCACTGTCTGGCTCTATGTCAGTCCTTAAAAAGAGAAATCAGTTCCTTGTGATCAGGAAAATCACCACATTGCAAATATTTCTCAGTACCTTGTCTGGAGATGGATCTCTCGTCCCAGAGAAGAAGTTTTGAACAAATGTCCACTCTCGGGACATCTCCATAATGGTACCTAATGATGTATCTGTCATAAGCAAAGAAAACCCTTTGATGTGGGCTAAATTGTCACTGACTCAAGATGGGATACACACACCTTCATACACATATACCTACCAGTAAATGTGTAGATTACCCAATTCACCACAATGTCTGAAGCATTTAAGCACCAGGCAGCTAATGTAGAAGAAATACAGTAAACATAAATGAATAATGTAGAATAAAAATGGTTCTGATGTGTCAAGTGTGGAATAGTGGGGTCTGAAGGACATTGGAGGATAACTTGACTACAGACATCTACCGCCTCCAGCTGACTATTGCGAGGGGGAAGGTGGGGGTGTAACCTCTCTAACGTCAAGACAAGCTGAGCATGCCAACTGATCTGAAGTCTCCATTTTATTCCTGGCAACTATTCAAAGACAATACTTTCCAAAGTCCAGAAGCCCACGCAGATTTGCAAGGTCGCACTCGCTGGTTGGTTGCTGGTTGTCCCTGTTCTCTCTCTCTCTCTCTCTCTCTCTCTCTCTCTCTCTCTCTCTCTCTCTCTCGCTCGCTCGCTCGCTCTTGCTCTCTCTCTCTCTCTCTGGAAGAAGTGTGCATCTTGCTGACATACTGTCAGCTGCTGCATATGACTGACGCGTGACTGGTGGTCCTCTAGAAACCACGAGAGCCAGTCCTGATTGCATGTGATTCTGGCACTCCCTTCCTCTGTCTACCGTCGCCAAAGTGTGGTCAGATGGCCCCTACATCAAATAAGGGTACTAAATAAATGAATTTACAGGGTCAACTCTCAACACCTACTCAGAAATTTGCATTAGTTTTGAAACAGGATCTAATTCACCCAAGCTGTTCTTGAACTTGCCATGAAGCTGCTACTGGAATCAGACCTGGTTCTAATAGGTTTGGCCTCCCAACCCCAATAGAGCACTAAAGAATCAAATAATAGGGAAAGGAGCAGAAAAGGGAGAGGGATTGATTCAATATGGCCACATTGGGAAGAGGAACCAAGTGGTCTCATGATGCCTGCCTCCTCATGAAATTCGTCTTCTGGACCCTGACTTGGGGTTTAGGTTTAGACAGAGGCGTGCAAAGCTAAGCTGGTCTGCTCAGTGTAT